TTAGACGAGGATGCAGGCAGGATATGTCATTGCCCAGTCTTGTGCCCCTTAGGTTGTCAGTTTGATAAAAATGATAATTTGATGCAAAGGCCCGATGGTTGTCAATGGTTGCTTGGTAGCACTATTAACAGAGCGGATTCAAAATAGTGTTGCACCACCATATAAGAGTAGAAAAAACAGCAGAGATGGTCAATTTACCTGATACATAGGCTTATTTTAATTTCACAGATGCCTTCAGCGACAGTTGGCAATAATGCTGTTCAGTGTGCCACCCCTGACCTGGGAAATGGAAGTCACTCAGAGACTATGAAGCAGGTTCTTGGAGTAATTGACAAGAAGGTTCGCAACATGGAAAAGAAAAAGGTAAACTATTCTTTGTCTTATTGCTTTAACTGTATAATACTTTATGATAATGTAACTGTATTATCGTTGTACTTGCAGTCTAAATTGGATGACTACCAAGCCAAGAAGAACAAGGGGGAAAAACTAAATCAGGACCAGTTGGTGAATGCATTTTTTTCTTAAGTATTGGCACATTTAGAAATTAGTTTTTAATAACTTAAGATGGGCACCTAAACATGTTATTCAGAGTTATGACTGTAAGATAATCAGTTGTGGCTGGTAAATTAGGTTCTGTGTATCTGTAGGGTTGGGCTATTAAAAAAATATGGCTACTAAGGAGTAACTAAGGTTACTTTATTTGTAACAATGTTGCACAAAATCAGAAATTGTCTTGGAGCATGAATCAGTTGTATACATATCAACATAAGAGGCAGAAACAACAAAGAAACTGACTTGGACAGTACATGCTGTGTACATAGTGTTCAAAATTAGTACAAAATGTGTTCATTTGGTGATGCGTGTTTTTTTTTTTTTTTTTTTTTAATGTTACTTAAAAATGCTACTAACTTGAAATTTGAAAGGGACTGCCATTTTCAAAGATGTTTTTTTTTTTTTTTTTTATGTCTTAACTGTGCGGGACTATGTTAAGACTCCCACCAAAATGTAGTAATTTTTTTTGTTGGGAGTTTACTGCAAAAATAGCAAAAACCTCTTTTGAGGGATCTGCAGTCTAGGAGTTGACATGAAAAGGGTATACGCTGGTCGGCAATGATCTCTCAAGCCGGTTTTGCTGCCAAAATAACCTGCCAGAAGATCAGGGGAATGGACACACTTCCTAGTATTTCCAATTTAGTGTGTGATTTATACTTCTATACTTCTGACATGTTTCCAAACCTGCCATAAAAAAGATTCAATACTGGCTCCACAAAAAGTCAGCATAAATTATTTTTCTGACCTCAAACACCCTTAAAATTTAAATGATGGGAGATTTTTGCACATTAAATCTTTGTAGCTTCCCTGTGTTTTTTTGTTGTGTTTAATTAAGTGCTGCCTTGTATAGGTAAGACAAACTTAATAGTAATCACATTTTTACTGTCCTTCCTGAAGGAGGCCTTGTCAAAGTACCAAGAGGTCTTGAACAACCTTGATTTTGCTCGTGAATTGCAAAAAAGCTTCATAACATTGGGCCAAGAAGTAAGTTAATGTTGTAATCAATACCTCAAAATGGACCATTAAAAAGTTGTAGTGTTAAATTCTTACTTTGACGATGCAGGTTCAAAAGGCAGTAAAAAAAACTGCAAGGAGGGAACAGCTGCTGCGAGAGGAAGCAGAGCAGCGGCGGCTAAAGGCTGTCCTGGAGCTGCAGTTTGTGCTGGACCAGTTGGGTGATGAAACCGTCCGGAGAGACCTGAAACAGCCTGATGCATCTGGCTCTCCATTACTCACTGAGGCTGACCTCGCTTTGCTTGATGACTTTTACAAAATGGTGGGACCTGAAAGAAACCATGATGTCAGGTATAGAAAATATGCCACTTCTCTAATGTGAAACACAGTTTTAAAATTATATTTGTGCAATAATGTCAATGGCTTGCAGGCTGAGTGAACAATATGAAGAAGCCTCTCAACACTGGTGGGAACTACTTGAAGGCAGAGACAAGGCAGTGGCAGGGACAACCTGTAGGTAATATTTTCATGGGCTCAACAACAATGTGCTACTGATTTTAACACTTTTTTTCATTTTAGACAAATTGTTGAAGGACTCTCTTGAAAAGGTATTGGCAAGCGGTTACTTTGACAGAGCACAAAGCCATCATAATGGCACATGTGAAGAGGCAGACAAACAGGAGCAGACGGTGGAAGTTGAGGCCAAAGAAGACTCGTTACCAGGTGACTACTTAATCAATAGAAAAGCAGCAAAAATAAAGACAGATTTTGATGTATATCTCATATGTTTTAGAAGCAACCGTTACTGAAAAATATACAGAACCTATTCAAGTGGAAACAGCTGAGGTAATGTAGCCTTACTTTCCTATCACGTGTAACAAATCTTAAAATATTTTTTACTTTTACATTTTTGTTTATAGTTTGTGAACAGGCAGTTTAATTCTGAAGCTGCCTACAGCAGCACAGAGAAAGTGGAAGAATGGACAATGGAAACTCAGGTAAAATGTACTGTGCAGTCGGTATTCGTTTGACTGTGTATAAGTTCTAATTTGTTCTTCTTGTTGAATAGATGAACTCATTACAATGTCAATCTCCTGCTCTCACTCCTGAGCCAACAGTTACTGTGAACCCTATCACCCCATGTCCCCCTCCTGACCCTGTGATCAGAAAGCAGGCAGTTCAGGACCTAATGGCCCAAATGCAAGGGACATACAACTTTATGCAGGTGATGTTGAAAGTGTGGCTTATTGTTGTATGGTATTAAATCACATGTTAAGACCCAAACCAGACTTAAAGCTCTAATATAACGAAATGTTTGACTTGCTGTAGGATTCCATTTTGGAGTTTGATGGACAAGCCCTGGACCCTGCTATTGTTTCTGCGCAGCCGATGAAGCCTGCACAGACTCTGGACTTGCAGCAAATGGGTACCAATAATAACTGTTGTTATTTCCCAAGTTGTTAATTAAAATTAATGAGTCTCAATTATGTTAAACAGCACACTCAGAATCCAGAGTTTCTCAAACATGTGCAATGACTGGCCCACAGGAATCTTCACAAGTGAGTTTAACAATTTAAGTTCTGCATGTAATTTTAAAGGTGCACTGTCTTTTTGGGTGGAGAATTCGCCACCTGCTTGTCTCCTTGTTGATATTATTGCTATGCCTGGTATGTTCCACAATATGGCATTATTGCCTTGCATTTAATCAATTCCACGTGTTGTTAATTAATGGCCTTGGTGGCATCACCTGCTCCGTATGGTTTGGTTGTATTAGTTATTCATACTGATGCTTAAACTTGTGATTAATATAACTTAAGAACACCTCAAGAAAGTTATGAATACATTGATTAGTGCCAATATATATGCAACACACGCCTTCCCTTCCTTGTTTTTTCTGCCTTTATCCTTGCCTAAGCCTCACTGTCTCTTTCCTCTGAGCAGCCCCCTGTCCCATGCTCTCTGTCCTCTGCCTTTCCACCTGTCTCCAAACCCACCCACACTGGTGGCATCAATGTCAACGCAGCTCCTTTTCAGTCAGTGCAAGCGGTACGCTTTGTATTTGAATTTATCTCTCACTCCTGCATTGTTAGATGCTTAACTTTATCAGTTCAATGGCTATTGTCTTCCCAAAATACCGTCTTTGGTGTACTTGTACTGTATATATACTTTAAATATTTTCCATGTATAGGTATTTAACATAAGCGCTCCAGTCCCCCCTGCCAGGGAGAGTCCAGTCGAGGCATTGAAACAGTCCAGTCAGTTTCCAGGTGGCTACACACAAAGCTTTAGCCAGCAGGAAAACAAAGTAGACCAATCTGAAATCCCCCAACAAACATTACAGGCAGGTAAGCCAGACAGCATGGATATTCTTATTAAAACATAATAATGATATCATATATTATGAAATGTGAAAAATAGTTATTAAATCTCTCACTCATCACCTACATCTCGCAGCTGTAGGTGGATTTCAGCCCCAAGACCAAGTGTTGTCTTCTGTGGGACATGAAGAACCCTCAGGAGGTACTGGGTTTGGCCAGTCTGCCCAGTTTTACAATGGCAGGGGTGCACCCAGAAGGTGGCCCCCGCAATGGACGGGGTATGATGAATGGATACAGAGGATCCTCCAATGGTTTCAGAGGTAAAGGAGTTCGGGACAGACTTGCGCATTTGTCATTTCTGGTACTGGAAAGGCATTAAATCACAGTTGTCTTTACATATCTTTGTCAGGCGGGTATGAAAACTATCGACCTCCTTTCACAAATGCTCCAAATAGTAATTATGGTCAGACACAATTCACTGCATCTCGGGATTTTTCAAACAGTAGCTACCAGAGAGTAAGGCTCTTCTCTCTTCTCTTACAAATGCATTTCTACGTGGCTTGTAAGACTTTTAATTGTTGATCCTGCTGTTCTTTATAGGAGCAAGGCTTCAAAAGGGGAGCTGCCCAAGGACCTCGCAGTCTGCCTCGAGGGAACGCACAAGCAATGCGATCCTAAAAGCTCTTAAGTACAGGAGTCATGCCACGTTAAACATTCAGGATCTTTTGAATGTTTTACTCTAGCTTACTTTTATAACATTTAGTTTTAAACTCCTCGTCCACTCATCTGAGTCAGCCTGCTTTGGTCTTTTTAGGTCAATTTTAACACAGTATGCTGAATTTCACAAGTAGAAGCAAGTATCTATGTTATATAATAACATAATAGCTTTTCCTGTAAACTTGAAAGATTTCATTAATTTATTTTTTGTACAAAATAAAAGCAAAAAATACCCTGCCAATATACATTAAGATTATCTTCTACTTTGTTCTTTTTCCCTTTTGTTCTTAGAAATTTAATGAAGCAATTTTTTATCTTTTTTTAATCTGTCATAATGGCTCTTGCACCGTCAACTTTGTACACTGTCATTGGTTGAGACTGTTTCAATAAAGTTGTGCTATATTATTAGTCTTTGTAGGGCTTGTTTTATTGCATCAGAAGTAACAAAATTGGACTACATGACTTTGAAAGAACATTTATTTAATCCAGCAGCAAGCTATAAGAAATGACAAATGGTGCAAATTTTTGCAAATTATAACACATTTTCAAAAGGGGCATGTTAAAGAAAAAATATTTCTGTAAAATTGGGTTGAGATTCTAAATTTAATAAAATTAATCATGATCAAATGTGATCGACAAACTCACACCCATTTGAGCATGAAAATACATAAACTTAAAGCCTCAAGAACCAAGCTAATCAACCCAGCCATTTTTCTACAGGGTGTACATCCACCCTGTGGTGTTGGAGCACACCACTTTACAGTATGCTGAAACTACTGCATTTTTGCAGAATTAGGGCAAAATTAAGTCGCACTTCACTATACCAACATCTAAATGTACTTATGACAAACAAAATATGCAAACTATGTGGTTTTGCCAAAAAAAAAACCCACAAATCTTAAATCCTTATTGTAGATGAGGTCCACAAAAAACCTCACTCTACCCCTCTCTTGCAGATGAAAAACTGACTACATCCCCAAAAAAAGTCTAAAAATAGCTTCTACCTCCTGCTCCTACCTCCTCTACCTCCTGTTCTTTAACCTTTACGAGCTACATCATTCAAGAGCATTCAACCGTAAAAACTTAAGGAGTCTCTTTCCTTATGCAGTGAGGAGAAGGAGCTTTTGCTGTATTTGGAGAGTCCAGGCATCCTAAATTACACTTTTTCAGTTTTGAGATTGAAACAAAGTAAACGGCAAAAACATTAAATCTGTACACCAAAATATCAGCAAATGCCCTGTAATGTAACTGCATTCAGTCTAACTGTTTCATAATTTTAGTCCCCCCCCCATTTGCAGTCCAACAATTCTTCAACAGGCAATTTTGCAGCTCCAAGAGTCCACCATTGTTCAAAAGAACTGGTTAAAAAGGCATTGTAATTTTTAAAGATTGTCCCTTTGTCACAGGAGCAGAAGTGGGGCAAGGGTCCCTGCCTCAGATTTCAAACAAAGTGCTATAACACATTATTCTGATCTGGTGGGGTTTCCTGGTGTCCTGGAGGCAGATCATTTGTTTGGGGCACACCGTGCAAAGCAGTGTCCTGGGCTGCTTCTGGGGCGACCTGGGCCACAGGTTGGTGCTCCTCAGGTTGACTTTCTTGGTTTTCTGCTACTGGAATAGCATTTCCTTCAACTGCAACCAAAGTAGTGCAATGTTATATAATTCATACAAGTCAAGCAAAAATGTATTATTATGTTTCTCATTAAATAGAAAACATACTTACTGTGGACCTCTGGAGGAGGTTCTATTTTCTGTGATTTAAGGCGTTCCATGTGCTCAACGGCCTGAGAAACAAAACATCGAATGTTGGACTTTGTATTTGCATTTTGCATTTTTTAAGATTTGGCAGGAATGCATGACATACACTAATATCCTTTATTATAATACATTACATTCAGTGAGACCCATCTGAGTTTTTAGACATTAGACATTCTGGTCACCTGCTGAAGTTCTTGTTTCTGAGCATTAAGTTGCTCTTGCTGCCTCTCCAGTTCATCTCTCTGTTTCTGCAGATCGACTGCCTTCTGGTTCAGGTCCTTTTCCTGTTGAGCCAAATGTTCCTCAAACTCTCTCATTTCTTCATCTGTGTAAGCTTGATTCTGCTCCAGTGTCTGGACATTACAGTATATCAATGTCAACATGTGCAGTTTGTTTATGATCAAAAGTTCAAATTACAATTATTGATAAACAGTGCATCACCTCCCAGCTGTCTGGTTCTAGAAATTCTTTTTTCTTTGTAGCAACCAGGAACTCATCTAATGAAACCAGTCTGTCTTTGTTTGTATCCACCTGCGAAAAGGAAACATTTTTAGATCTCTTTGAATACATATCCATCAACTCACATAAAATAGGCTCAACATATAATAAAAAAATAAGAAATAAAACACAACAGGCAACATGTAGTATGTGAAACAGAGCATCAGTGTTCTGTCATGTATTTGAAATATACCTCATTCATTACATGCTCTCTCATTCGTAACCTCTCCTCCTCCATTTCCACCATATCATCCTCTTCATTTGCAGGGTCATAGATTTTTTCCAGCTGAAATGACAAGGAAATTATATAGAAATCTATTTTAAATAAGACTATTATTGCTGATGTGTATTATACCTCTTTTGTGAACAATGCCTCCAGCTCTTGCTCATCAAAGAAGCTATCACCATTGGTGTCTGCATTGTGGTAAAAAAAAAAAGTATTGTATCATCAACAAGTTGTTCTCTTCTTAATATAAATATTGCAAATGTTTATTATTTAATAATTTAACGTTACCATGAATGTTGAAAAAGGTCTTTGGGTCAAAATCATCTGGATCCAGACCATCTGCTTCCTCCCAGACTTCCTTCAATTGATTTTGACTGCCCTGTAATTCAAGCAAATTACAATGAAATAACCTAATCTAATCTAGTATTATCCTTACCAGTGATATTTTTGCCTTACAGGATGATTGACTTTGGGGTGATCTGCATGCTTTTTCTTCATCTCTTCATAGTGCTCCTCCTCTTTTTTTCTGTCTTCCTCATTGAGTGTCTTCAGATGCTCTCGTCGGTCATGCTCTTTCATCATTTCATACCTTTTGAACTCCTCGTGTCTTTCTTTGTCATAGTTCTCCAGATCTTTAGTAGCCTTTAATGACAAAATTAATGATCAATCAAACAAATGGAATATTGAAAATCATACTTTCAAGCATAATGGACTGTGCATTTACCGATTTGATGAGGCGGTCCAAGTCTTCTACCTCAAATGTATGTGGGTTCATGTGGTTTAAGTGCTCAAACTGCTTTAAAAGAGCTTGGTGATCCACAGCTATGTCTTTTTAAAAAACAGTACAGTTAGACAGAAGCTATAGTCATTGTGACATGCTTTTAAAAAATAACACTTACCATTTCCTCCTTCAATGTCCTGTTTTGCTTTGATCAGGGTGCGCAGTCTGTTCACTTCTTGCCTTTTCAGTTCATCTAGCTTTGTTCTGACATTATGACTGACAAAATCCAACTCTTTAGCTAGTTTACCTTGCTAACAAAGTAGAGACAAAGAATCACTCAAAAGCACAGAAAATATTACCTTCCAAATCATAATGTCAGATGAAAATTTACTTACTTTAATGTCTTCCATGTCTGTGTTATGAAGCTTTTCTCTAAAATGTTGATCCTTTTCTAAGAAATCAATTACTTCTCTGAGATAACGGTCATAATGGAGCCCAGTGTCCTAAAATCAGATTTACATGTATTACTAGATTATATCCAAAATAAACTCCTAAATAAATAATATATAATCAAATAAACATGTATATTAATTAACACAGAAAACAGATGTTAGGCAGACCTGAGAGCAATTACAAAAAATACATGCAAGCTCTGACAAACACAAAAACTATAATGTCAATAGGAAACAGCTGTTGCCTTCACATATATGCCTTGGGTGCAAGTTTTTGTGCACTGTCAAAATGTCAATGTTTAAATGACAGCAGCAAAGACTATCCAATCTGTGCCCTCTTTTTCTCTATTCTAAGGCCACCATTATATAAACGGATACTAATGGGCATGTATGTGTACACAAAGTTCAGCGATAACACATTCGTAAACACTGGACAGTCAGTTGATATTACATGATGTACTCACCACACTGGCTGGAGGTGTTTCTACTTGTTCTGGCTCCTTCACTTTGGTCTTGTCTATGCTGATGGGCACAGCTTCCACACTCATCAGCTGGAGCAGCATCACAACCCAGCTGATGGTAAAGGCCCAACACAACTGGAACAAATATTACATTTAAATACATCAGCACCATAATGTTGTGTCAGTTACGGAAATACACGCTCTACATAGCCTACTTCAATTTATTCTTACTCATCTTTCTCGGTGTCAGCGCGGATTGAGTAATTGGCTAATAATAACCACGAAGCTTCTAGTTAGTGATAGCTTTTGCGAACCAGACGCGGTATAGTGATCACTAACGCGCTGACTATCCCATTATAATACAATCTTAATATTACAGTTCAGATAGGCGACTTTTGTACAAATAAATGTCACTTGTTTACTCACTTTTATCTGAATCGTAGACCCCATCTCTTCCCTCATACGCCGCTATCTGTCAGTAGAGGAGCCAGCGGCTAACCTAATACGCTAGCCAGCATGCTAGACTGTCCCCGGCAAAAACTCAATTCTCATTGGTCTGCCCCCCCGTCCGTCAGAAGCTCTGTCCAATAGAATTCCATGTTAGGCTGCACTGAATCTTACGTGGCGACATGACGAGGGCAAAGGTGGGCGTTTTTGTTGCTTCATGAAATCAATTGTAATAAATTGAGAAATTGAGTTGGCAGATGGCATAGGATCAATAATGAAACGGCGGGGATTCATGATAAATTAGGTTTTGTTTTGTAAAATAAGAGTATATCTGACATAGTATTGCACGACCCATGATAACCTATAATGTCAACGTCAGATCAAGATATTGAGCTGTAAATAGGCTACATTTTCTTCTACCAATTTATGTATTCTTGACACATTAAAAATGTCATTACGCTTGGTAAGGTGTGATGCTACTACTCCAGGAACCTCGTTAAAAGGTGTTGACCAAATTATAGGCTACCTGAGCTGTGTTGCTGAGTTGCTTGTCTTGTTTCTGCAAAAACATACAATTAGCTGGTTTTCTGAAAATTAGGGTCTTTCATTTATAATGACACACTCTCACCAGCAGAGGGTGATGTTGTGAAGTGAAGTCCTTAATTTAAATAATCCAATTGCCCTAATGTCAATGCAGTTTGGCAATAAAAAAATGTTCATTGGCCAGTTCCAAACTGAACACTTTTAAACTCACTATGCTCCAATGTATTATTTAATAATAATAATAACAGAACATTGTAATTTTGTGTAGGTCTAATAACAGAAAGTGAAGTCTACAGTAATAATAGGGTTTCTAAATACAAAAAGTTGCTCAAAAACTAGTTGTGTACTAAGTCCAAAAATCTCCAAAGTAAGATATAAAGAATATAAAGTCATGAAGTGCATGAATCATTTAGTTCAGTTGGGCTATGACTAATATAAGATTGTTGGCCTGAATAGCGGTGTAATAGGCAGCTCAGTGAACTGAAAGGTGATTCATCATCTGGATTGAAATGGATCTATTAAAAACACAGATTAAACCGCTGCTTTATAAGTCAGCATTTCCAAGTAGGTCTCAGCTATACAATAATAACAATCTCCCTCCTACTCTTTAATAACCCACTACCTCTTCGAGCTCAATTTAGGCTATCATAATAGAAATACATCAGACTCCCATTGTCAGGCAACATACCAAATTATTTTTGTCTTTATCAACACCTTTAGTGAAGTGTGAATCAGCAGCCAGGTTCTTGAGGAGGAGACAATAACATTGAGTCACCTTGCTGCATTGTGAGCCAGTAGCAGAGGCAGTCATCAGCAGCAGCACACACTGCAGAGCTGCACTGGGCTGCGCATCAGCTCATGTGTAAATTAGTATGGATAAGTGGCTGTGTGAAAGATGTAATAATAAATCATAGCGCAGGAAAATAAGAATAATTGGATGACCGGGTCTCTCAGGTTGTTACTGCCGTATGCATACTGAGTGAACAAAATGCAGGTGTGTTAGGTCTGATTGAGTCTGACACACACAGAGGTGCTGAAATGAACTCCAAATCAGGATCCTTGCAAAGGTATGACCTTTAAGCACAAGATTAATGCTTAAATTTCAAAAGCTCTGCAGTATATATTTTTTCCATAGTCAGTTCTCCAACTGTGTTCACCTTTACAAATGTGTTCCTCACTTTTTAATTGTTTGATGAATGTTTGATGAGCTATAATTTTTTCCCCCACAATACGACATCTAATATGTTGGAGTGTGCCAGACTTTATTCTTGTCTTTATTTTAAAAGAAAAATGCTTTAAAATTTATCAAATAATTGTATTATTATTTTCACCCCAGCACTCTGTTAACTTTTCCCATATTGGGGTTATTATTAAACGTTGATGGTGGATGTTGAAACATGCCTACTGTTCTCCATTGTAAAACATTTCTGCAGGATAGACTAGAAAATGTGAAATCGAAGCCGTTATGGTCATAGATAAATCATCAGTTATGTCAAGATGTGATTATGGTAACCTGAAAAGATAATAGGCTGTTTCTGCAGCCAACTTTGAATATTTAAGATGCCCAATTACTCTTCCTCACAATAATCCTCATATATGCAGGCTACTGGGAAGAGTGGCTATACAAGACACACCCATTTATCTCTTTCAGATAAACCTTTGTCAAGTTTGACATAACCTAAGTTTGTGCGCGTGCGTAATGAAAAACTAACTTCAGAAAAAACTGCGCATAAACCCCATGCTGACGCTTCCCATCTTTGCACTTTGGCTGCACACTTCGCTGTTCCGCAGTGGACTTCACTTATTATTCCGGCTCTAGTTTATTATCAACCAGACGGTGCGTTAGCCTCGGGATAACAGGTTAGCAGCACCAAGCGGAGGCGCGGAGGAAGTCTGTCTCCAATCTTTTTCAGCTGCACTTCAGTCCTCGTCCCCTTTAAAACTATGTAGCCCTAGCGGTGGAGTTATGATGTGAACTCCCAGGACAAGTCTGTGGAGAGGGAGAGGGGGGACTAACCGAGCCCGGAGACGAGAAATCATGGCGGCACCTCTCGGACGGGACACCTTACCTGACCACTGGTCGTATGGAGTTTGCAGAGACGGTCGGGTTTTCTTCATAAAGTAAGCTCGTTGTAACTCAGTATAAGTCAATGTCTTTGGGTCATTGGCACAGTAATTAGTCGATTTTGTTGTTTTATTACCGTTCAGTAACAGGTGTCTTTCTTGTAGTGATAAAACTCATACTACTACTTGGCTACATCCGCGCACTGGAGAACCTGTTAACTCTGGACACATGATTCGTTCAGGTACGCCGCAAACTTGTGTCAGTGATTTGCTTGTTGGACATCCGAGGACGTTTTTGCTGCAGCATTTTACGCTGGCGGGTCGCTGAGTGTGTTTTTGTTGCTGTTGTAGATCTACCACGAGGATGGGAAGAGGGATTCACCGACGAGGGAGCCAGCTACTTCATCAAGTGAGTGGCATACGCATTGTTGCACAGTTTGACCGTGTAAAATGTAATCCGGGCATTAGATAATCCTGCTGAAATGCGTAAAATACTCGGTTCATTTACACGTAGAACTGTGCTGTTGGTACGTGAGGGTAGCTTTTATTCAAACCTCAGCAGAAGTGGATTAAAAGACCGTGGAACTATGTAAACAGGTAAATGGCACGCAACATATTGATTTACGCACGGGGGTCTCATTGGATAGGTGAAAGCAAGTATCTGCCCGCATTGTAACGGAGAAGGTGGCAGTGCCTGGCAGGACAGAAGTCTATTAAAATTCTCCTCACATCGCCCATGCAGGACCTCTACTCTCTCCATTAGGAAGGTGTACTGCCCGCGTGGGTGTGTGTATACATGTGTGGCACTAATACTGTAAAGGTTGTAGGAGAAGGGTGTGACTGTGGTGACAGTGATGCACGATATGATTGTGTTACTGAAGCAGAGCGGACACAATTACCAAAGTCAAAAATGAAGTGTGTGTGTTTCGCTTCACCGGACAGTTGGTATAATATAATGTAACCCCGTGTTACATTCTGCACGCTGTCTGAATATATGAGTCACACAGTACAGCTCATGACATTATTATTTTATTCTGTCATTGATTCAGTGGTTGCTTCTTTAATGTTCTAGTGATTTCATAGACTGTATTTCTTAACTTTTCTTTTAGTACACTGTAGAATACAAACTTATGGACACTTTATTTTGAGTTATGTACCAGTCATTCTACTCATTAGATGCTTTATCATCTTTAAAATAATGCGCATTTGTCATTTGTCTGTTGCTGTTTTTCAATATACCACCATATGTCATTGTGCCATAGTGCGAGTCATCAGTCATTAGTGCAATATATCTGTATCAGAAGCACTATTGCATTAGTTGTTAAATTGCTTAACCAAGATTCTACCATCACACTGTATAGTTTGAGCCCAGTTTAGTTCTGATGTAGACTGGTCCTATTCTAATCCTGATTAAGTCCTGGTCTATTCAGGTTTAGTTTTAGGTTTAGTCATACTTTATTACCAGATTTGATACAGTGAATGGAGTTAAGTGTTTTCAGTCATGTCATCCAATCATCCTTTTATTCTCTTGATTGATGCAATTGTGACAGTTACCAAAATATCTTGTATCTTTTAGTCTCTGCTTCTTCTAGCTGTTCCTTTAAGGGCCCATATTACACTATTTTCTGATCTATGTTATAACGTTGTTTCCTCATCACAAACATACCTGGAGTGCTTTGTTTCTTTCACATTTGTTTAATACACAAATCTTGCATATTTAGGCTGAGCTCTCAGAAAACACTCTGTTCCACCTTGTGATAATGATTCCTGTGGCAATACAGGAAGTGCTCACCTGTGTTTTTAAACGACATACACCTCCACTAGAATTATTTGGATAATTTCAGAGTTTATAATATCTACTGAACTAAAAATAAGTGGTAGCTACTACTACTACTACTACTACTACTACTACTACTACTACTACTATTAACTACTACTACATGGCATCACAAGGTGGAACAAAACATTTTGAGCTTTGGAGATGTAGTCAGACCAGTAAACCAGGATTACTCAAACATTAAGGGATGAAACAAAACAAATTTATAACGACTAAAACCTCAAAAGAATCAATTTTGCGTAATATAGGACATTTAAATAATGTTGCTGCGTCAGTAGAATTTTGGCAGTTTAAACCAACGTGATTTACTGCTTGTATTCTACTATAACTTGTAATGTAATAACAACTACTAAGTGGTAATAAACTACTAATATTTTGAATTGTAGGCTGTGACTGTCACTCTCATTAATTCTGTTATATGTTAGAGAGCTAACAGCCTGTTTAATAACAAATTGCTTTAGAATATAAGATAAATACATATGGATTTGCTCTGATCATTATATCTCAATGGATCATTCAGTTAAGCTTATTATAGTGTTTGCTCTTCATAGTACCTTAGTGTTATTATATTGTTAGTTACACCGTTTATTGGACAGAAGACTGCAGCATTTTCAGATTCATAGTGTTAGTAAAAATCTTTCATGAACACTGTACACAAAGTAAATTAAATCTCTACTAATACTAATATTAGTAGTATATTAATACTAATATTCTACTAATGGTTGTGCCCTTGTTCATCTAAGCCCTAAATTAGCATGCTCTGAAAATTTTGAAAGCATTTGTTCACAGAAGTGTTGCTGCAGAGACATACATTGTGTGTTGAATAAAATAGCCTTTGTGTTTTGGGCATCTGCTTAGTGTTTTTTGCTTTGTGCAGAAGAGGAGGACAATACAGCCCTGAAGTTGTGTGATATATAGACCCTAAATGTCAGGGATCCTAAATAACTCAACTATTTGTAGCTTGTTTGGCATGGTGAAAGGATCCGACATACCCCCCTTCTCTCTTCATTGTATTTTGTGTGTTCATTTGTTCGAGTTTGGTTAGGGACAGGAACGGTGACAAGTATTTGCCCATTAGAGGTGGTTTGGCTCTGTGTTATTTCTGTTGTAGTAATTTTAATAGCTTGAAATCAAATGCCAGATTCATTTAATTGTTTAAACACCCCATTAAAACCCTTATGTTCGCAGTTAGGATACATTTATGCTGGTATTGTGGGGAAATTGCAGATTAAAGCTGTACTTACTATGAGCATGACCTTCACACTACGGGAGGTTTTGGGGATGAGACCGTCGTTTATCATTTTGCTGTGATGGCGGAACGTCATTTTCACTTTGTAATGGAGTTTGTCTTCTAATGTTTATCGCATTCATAACATCATTATATGTTGTATATTTGGCAAGTGTGCAGTGTGCATCATTACTCAAAGCAAGTTTACTAGTTTCTAATAGAGCAGTTGCTGATGTTAAAGGTGCATTCTGCATGTTACTCTCCAGATCTTCTGTATGCCATAAGTCTTCATTGAATATTTTGTTTTTTGAATATTTTATTTTTGTAAAGGTCCCAGTTTTCCTAATACATTTAATGTAAATATTCAGAGTCAGATTAAGTATGTTTAAATGGTACAAAACAAATACATTTCAAATCACAACTGAGGCCATGTCCATAGACCCATGAATTTTGTATCCAGTTTTAACTTAAGACTCAAACTTTATTTTATGTTTTATCTTGTATGCACACCAGATATTGGACTAGATCAGATTGACTATTGACCAGACTATCCATTAAAGGTCCTATATTATACAATACAATTGACTCTTGTGAGGTTTAAGACACATTAGAATGCTGTTACCTCCTTAAAAATATGTTTGTGTACACCTTTATTCACTAGCTAGGACCACACCAACAACGACATAGTGCGACGAAGTATTGATAATGTACAGAGAGATGGCTGGGTGGAGACTGTAAGTGGGGGCTCCGTCTCAATCTTCAATTAGCCCAGCTGGAACAGGACCCCCCTGTAGGGGTCTTATGACTGAAAGACAAAATAGGGGATGGGAGGGTGGGGTCGAGTTAGCCGAGACAAACTGGGATTATGGGAAAGGCTGATACATATAGGCTTCTGGGAAATTAAAGGCATGGTCGAGGTGAGCTGTGGTTCGCTGGTGAGAGGAGAGGGCGGCTGAGGTGTGGTCCTGCTGCTGAATCTCAGTTAATCATATTAACTACATTTATTAGTCTGTCTACATCTCCAAAGCTCAAAATGCCCTCTTCCACCTTGTGATGTCATGACGTGGTAGCTTTCACATTAACAGCTGCCTTTTACCTTTTGTTCAATAGAAATTGGCAATTTCCAACCAATTTTAGTGAAAGTTTATGAAATTTTAAAACACAGTGGAGCAATTCCTGTATTACCACTTGACATCACAAAGTGGAACAGAGTGTTTTCCATTTGAGAGAAAAATTCTGCCTAAATATACAGGATTTGTGTATTAAACATGTGTTCATGAAACAAAACAAAACTCCTGGTAAGTTTTTGATGAGGAAACAGCATTATAACATAGATCAAAAAATAGTGTAATATGGTTCCTTTAAAATCACAGTGTTGTTCATAATAATGGTACTTGATTTGTTTGTAAGTAGTAAGCAGGAGGCCTTGTAGTGGGGTACTTGTTTTGCTTTCAGTTTAAGCCCCGCATTTTCGTGGCAGGTCATTGATATGAGCCAGTGCCTCTCAATAAAGTGGTGAGCTGTCTAAAGAGCGTGGCACTGAGACTGGGCCGAAGTCCACATGGTGCTGCCGTGACAACGCCGGGCAGATTTGGTTGAGTGTTAACGATGGAATTTGGTCTTGATGGAGCACAAAGGGATTATTGTTCAGGCAGTGGTACAACTCACATTTATTTAACCTCACTCCTGACATATCTCTGTACCACTGTACTTTTTCCTGGCAGAAAAGTTTAATCTTTGTGTCAAAAATATTAAACTTTACCATTATAGCAACATCAGTGAACACAACATCCTTGTTGTGGTTTGTAGTTATGGTCGTTGAACATAAATTATCTTAAGTGTCTTATTACCTCAATTACTTTTATGATTAAAATATAATCCAAGTATTTCCATTTAGTTCATCAGTACTTCCTTTTAAAAGTGTTATAAACTCCAAGTCATTATAAAATACCAAATCCAAATATAAATTCCAACCCATATATATTCTATCACATTGTTATGAGAAAAAGGAATTAGTGTTGAAAATGTCAAGCATGTTTTATATTTTCATGTTAAAGTATTTTTGTGGTAATTTAAGGCCCTTAAATGATTGTAAATATAATATATAATATAGATCCTGCAGCTCACAAAGACATCCACCGTACAAGAGCACTTGTGAGGCAGTGTTGCATAGATTATTCCCATGTTGAAGCTTGGAAACCTGAGTTCTGAGTAGTTTTTTTTTACATTGGACTCCATGCCAGACCACTAGTGTAGGAAAAGTGCAATTCTATAGCTCCCTGAGGAAAGAATTGACCCCATTGAGGTACAAAGGTATCCTGTTGAGGACACCGTTCACATTGTT